ATGGTCTAGTGGAGTCACGATTTGCGTTGGATGTTCTAAAATTCCAGTTGTTAAAGTTCCAGATAACACAGTTTTCCTGTATATAGATCACTATTGGGCAGTCAGCAAAGATCTCTTACAGTGTAATAACAATCTCTGATGCTTCATTTAACAGAAACTCTGCTTAAAAGAATCTTCATAATAATAAGTTTAGATTTTAAAAACTTGTTTCATAAATATACATATATCCTCTCTAGTAGTCTGGCCAAAAGAAAAGATTTTGTTATTGATAATTTGTAGCTGGTAATTTTCCACTTTTTCTATCCACTGTTATTTTTATGTTGTCACTGAAGTGCCTGCCCAGCACTGTATATTATAGTCTCTCACAAACACTGGGAAAACGGACTGTCATCATCTTGAGTACAATATTATCATTTGAGATGGAGTCTCGCTATGTCGCCCACACTGGAGTACTGTGGTGCAATCTTGGCTTACTGCAACCTCCACCTCTGAGGTTCAAGCGATTCTCCTGCCTCAACCTCCCAAGTAGCTGGGATTAGAGTTCATGCCACCCTGTCCGGCTAATTTTTGTATTTTTAGTAGAGATGAGGTTTCACCATGTTGGCCAGGCTGGTCTTGAACTCCTGACTGCAAGTGATCCACCCATCTCGGCCTCCTAGAGTGCACAGGTGTGAGCCCCTGTGCCAGCCAAGTACAATATTAATGTAGATAAAATATAAAGTTTATTCTTTCATATAAGAACATTTCAAGTTTGTTTTTTCTTGGATCTGTCTGTCCATCTAATGTTCAAATAGTTCTGGTAGCTCTTCCTATTCTTTATTCTATTTGATTCCATTTCTGTGATTTCTTTATTACCAGTGATGTTTTCTGTTAGTTAACTATGATAGATTTAATCAATCATGATTTATTTTCTAGAGTATTTAAATAATGTTTGACCACCCAATTCCAACATTAAAAGTGTAATCTGGGCACATAATTTATAGTGAAATTACATCAAAACATAGGGAAACTGTATTACTGTCCACGTTGAAAATAAGAAACTTGAATATTGAAAATATTTAAACTTGGAATGGTAGTATTCTAATTTCAGTTAGTTGGTTCCTGTTAATTTCTTACCTATTAGATGTTTAAACAGCAGTGACCTTTGTTTACCTGTATCTACTCTTTGGTGGAAATGTTAAACCGTGAGTTTTTGCTACCAACTCAACCACTTAACTGCTTCATCTGAGTTTAGAAGTAATGTCAGAAAATGTTAAGCATGTCTGTAATAAGAAAATATAAGGTTTCTAATTATCTTATTAATATGATAATTCAAGTGAATTAGGAATATTTAACTGCAATCTTGAATTATAAAGTTGAGATACACATATCAAGATCTCAACTTGATGTAAAGTAAATGAGCAGTTACCTGGCGGATTTTTTTTTTTTTTTTTTAATAACTGGTTGAATCCATAATCCCATAACAAACATAGCTTCACCTCAGTATTTTCTTTCCTTCTTCATTCACCAGTGTTCCAATAAGGGAATGCTAGAAAATACCTGATAAGTACTGAAAGACCGTTTGTGAAAAAAATTGATTAGAAAAGTAAGTTTCTAGGGTCTTTGAATGCTGGATTTTTTTTTTTTTTTTTTGTCTTTCCCATCTGTGGCAGCTAAAACAAAAATCACTCAAAATATTCAGGTTTACATGTTAGCTCTCTCTCATAGGGAGTTGCCATACCTCACAGTTCAAAGTGTATTCTCTAGATCAGTAACATTATACTGACATGTAATTGCAATTTACTATGCAGCAAAAATGATTCAAGAAGAAAAATAACCTACAGTGTCTATATACCTTTGTGTATACAATTGCTTAAGTTACTCTGCTTTTAACATTTGTACTTGGATAAAATGCTTATGTCTGTATAGGAATGTCACAGTGCAAGATGCTGCTAGCCCAGGCACAAAGTATTAAAATTATTTTGTGAAGATTGGTGGTTGTATTAAAACTGCTGTGCCATTATACCTCCAGAATATTGCAAAGCTTATTCATACTGCTGCTTATACCTCAAAAGTTCTTTAGATTGTTATCTATGGGTAAAAGTAACCCAATTTTATTCCTGTGAGTTAAGAGTGAATGAACATTGAATGCTGAGAAGCACTTAAGAGTATCCTCTAAAAAACTGTGGATGCACACAAGAAAAATTATGGTCTGTAGTCCAGGCAAGCCTCAAATTCCAACTCAGGTTTATTTTTAAGGATTAGTTGAGCAAGTTTGGAGTTGGAAGTGAGAGAATTTGTGTTTAAAGGAAAGGGTAGGTCATCCATAGAACAACTTTCAGTCATTAGAAAAAAAAATACTTCCTGCTTTTATAGTACCTTCTCTCATTAGGCCCACCTGCATACTGTGCTTCATAAATCTAAGATCCTCTCACAACTATACCATTATTTTAGGCACCACTGAAATAATTACCTTTAGGGAATATACGTATTGCTAACAAAACTATGACAAACCATTGATAATGTATCCAGATTTCAGAGATAAAACAATGCATCTTAGCTGATAAAGAAACAAAAATATAAAAAACATGGGACACAGTAAAAATGACAACTACCCCTTCATTTTATCTTTTCATAAGCAAATAGTGCTCAAAAATGTGAATAGCCAGACATGGTGGGTCACACATGTAATCCCAGATACACTAGAGACTGAGGCAGAAGATCACTTGAGCCCAGGAGTTTGAGACTAGTTTGAGCAATAGTGAGACCCCACCTCTACAGAAAAATTTAAAGCCAGATGTGATGGCACACACATGTAGTACCAGCTACTGGAGAGGCTGAGTCAGGATGGATGGCTTGAGCCCAAGAATTGGAGGATGCAGTGAGATATCATCATACCACTGGATTACAACCTGAGTGATGGAGTGGGATACTGTCTCTTACAAAAAAGTGGGCCAGGTGCAGTGGCTCACACCTGTCATCCTAGCACTTTGGGAGGCTGAGGCGGGAGGATCACTTGAGCTCAGGAGTTTGAGACCAGCCTGGGCAACGTAGACCCCATCTCTACAAAATTAAATTAGCTGGGTATGGTGGCATATACCTGTAGTCCCAGCTACTTGGGAGGCTGAAGTAGAAGGATCACTTGAGCCCAGGAGATTGTGGTGGCAGTGCGTGGTGATTGTGCCCCTATACTCCAGCCTGGGCAACAGAGTGAGACCTTGTCTCAAAGAATTAAAAGAAAAAAAGAGACTACTGTGGGTACACTGCCTGTGGGGTAGTCCTGCTCCACAAGGAACAGTTAAGAAGTACAAGAAGTGTTTTATATAGCATTTTTTTGTATTTACATTTACTCACCATATGGCTTCAAAAATCATAAACATGCTCAACTAAAATTATAGATCACCATTGTCCTCAATGACAAGTTTTGTATGGTGTACCTTACCTGTAATTCTGTTTCCTATGGGAGGATTTAAGAGATGATCTTAGGAACACTGCTTAAAGGAATTTACTTAAGTGCCAACCTTGTGAACGATTTTACCTCAAATTGTTCAGTGGTAAGAAATGTAATTAAGCATTTAATTTTGCCTTTTACTAGGCTAATTTTTTTTTAACATGAGTTTTTACTTACCAGAATTTACCTGATAAAAACTACTCTTTGCCAGGATTGTAGCAGGACTTCTGAAAAGATAACTAGCTTTGTTGCTTTTCAATAAGATCAGTTTGTCTGCATAGGTCATAAGTAGGTAAGTAGGGCACTCGTGGTGAAGGATTTGTTGTTTTGGAAAGCCAACTATATAGCTGACTGCATAGAGGGAAATCCAAAATCCAGATGATGTGGCATGAATCAAAGGGATGAGAAACACTGGCATTTTCTTTGCAAGTTCGTTTTACAAAGAGCACATAAAACTAAAATTTTATGAATTATGACTTAACCTCATAGTTCAATAGCAGACTCAAGAAAAGCACAGATGTGATTCTAACAAAAGACTACTCACATATTAACAGGTTTAATATAATATGGAATGCAAAAGATTGGAACCATTAAAGTATTTAATTCATACTTCAACTTTAAAAAATAATTAAGATAAATTAAACAGGATAATGACCAAAGTAGTGCCATTATAATCATATTAAAAAGTAAAGCTTCCATCAACATTTTACGAATTTGGCAAATCCAGTAAAACACATTTTTAAATATTGTATTTCATTCAATTTTGTGGTAGTTCATTTTTGAAAAAACTTACTCAGAAGAGAGGCTTCAGATACCCATAAAAAGAAAAACGGGGTAGAAATACGTATGCTGGGTTTGCTAATTCACTGTTTAAAAAGTATCTTAGATGTCCCACTATAATTGCTCTTAGCTGTTTTTAGCAAATGAATAATTACAATTCACAGACAAGTGGCACTTTTTATCTACATAGATTTATATAAACTTCTTTTAGTAAAATGTTTAAATTTTTTACTTTTAATCTTGTCAAATAATTTTCATTTCTTCTACTTTAAAAGGTTGGCCAGGTTGTTTGCCTATATTGGGATCAACGAATGTTGGACTACACTATGTTTAGTTACAATAACTAATTTATCCAGTCTGACTTAATATGTGGGAAACAATACACCCCTAAGTGTATTGAGATGTTTCGTTGAAACAAAAATATTTAATTTTATGCATGTGATAAGAAACAGCCTTACTCAATATATACTTTTTTTTTTTTTTTTTTTTTTTTTTTTTTTTTTTTTTTTTTTTTTTTTTTTTGAGACGGAGTTTCGCTCTTGTTACCCAGGCTGGAGTGCAATGGCGCGATCTCGGCTCACCGCAACCTCCGCCTCCTGGGTTCAGGCAATTCTCCTGCCTCAGCCTCCTGAGTAGCTGGGATTACAGGCCCAGCTAATTTTTTGTATTTTTAGTAGAGACGGGGTTTCGCCATGTTGACCAGGATGGTCTCGATCTCTTGACCTCGTGATCCACCCGCCTCGGCCTCCCACGGTGCTGGGATTACAGGCTTGAGCCACCGCGCCCGGCCATATATACTTTTTTTTATGAGCAACACACATAGCAGACATATAACTCCTTATTACCCATATTCTTGACTACCAAGAAATGAAGCCAAACTTTTAGAAAAATACAATGCAAGAAAATTCAAGTTAAAAATATATTCCTTTGGTTAAAAATCATCCCCTTTATAATATTCATTTGTAATTTAAATTCACAGCATGTCCCACCAGCCCAAAGTAATCTTCTAAATGTCATTACACTTGTAGTATTACAAGTATTTATGGAGGTCACTCGGCTGCAGCAACAAAACATTTCAACTCTACGAAGAGTGTAGCCTTGTAGCACTAGCTCCTTTGACAATTTTCTTATAAGACCCGTTTACTTGAGAAACCTCCGACACATGTAGTTTTCTTCAGATACAGTATATCCAAACTTTTTATAGAAACCAACATTTTGTGGTAGACATTCAAGGGTAATCTTGTAACAGTTCAGTTTCTTGCTGAGCAAAGTAAGGGTTGATAATAACCTGAAATTTAAAAATGGGGAGGGTGAGGAGATAGCATTTGTTAATAAAAATTGATTTTAGAAACTATGAATTAATGTTATAAAACTTCGGTTTTCTTAGAAATAGGCTTTTATTATGGCTTTTCCCATTGCATTCATGTAAGTTGATAAGCATTTAAATCACCAAAGCATTAGAGTCAAATATATCTAGTAATCTCCATCTCACTAATAAATAGGACAAATACTAAAATCCCCCTAAACCCTCTTTAAAAATGAAATTTAAGGCCAGGTGTGCTGATTCGTATCTGTAATCCTAGCTGAGGCCCAGGTGGGTTGATCACCTGAGGTTGGGAGTTCAAGACCAACCTGACCAACATGGAGAAACCCCGGCTTTACTAAAAATATAAAAAAATTAGCCGGGTGTGGTGATGCATGCCTGTAATCCCAACTACTGAGGCTGAGGCAGGAGAATCACTTGAACCCGGGAGGCAGAAGTTGCAGTGACCCAAGATCACGTCATTGCACTCCAGCCTGGGCAACAAGAGCGAAACTCTGCCTCAAAAAAATAGAGGCCAAAATTATTTTGTTAAAGTTATTTAATCTATTTAAACAACTTAGGAGCAGTCAACATTCCCACATAAAATGAGTGCATTTTTAAAGTTACTTTAATATTTATGAAGGTTTGTATCAACTTAACTCAAGATTGGTCTAATTAATGTGAACTGGAAACAAGTCTACATCTATACAAACTCTTTGTGAATCCAACCCCAGTATTAAAGCATGGATCTAAATGCCTTGGAGCATAAAAACTATAAAGATCTACAAACTTGGCCAGGCGAGGTGGTTCACGCCTGTAATCCCAGCATTTTGGGAGGCCTACGCGGGCGGATCATGAGGTCTGGAGTTCGAGATCGGCCTGACCAACATGGTGAAACCCGTCTTTAATAAAGATACAACAATTAGCCAGGTGTGGTGGCGTGTGCCTGTAGTCCCAGTGGCTCAGGAGGCTGAGGCAGGAGAATCGCCTGAACCTGGGAGGCATAGGTTGCAGTGAGCCAAGATCAGGCCACTGCACTCCAGCCTGGGCGACAGAGTGAGACTCCATCTCACAACAAACTAACAAAAAACAGACCCTGTTTCAAAAACTGAAAAGTATAAATTATAATAAGATGCAAGTTCTTATACAATAGACAATAAATCTGTCACTTATTTTAAATGATTTAGATAAACATAAAGGAGATTATACAGTGAAGGCTGTTTCAGTATGTATGTCTACAACTTATGAGAATGACAGATCATAGAATATTCTGTAATAGTTGTACATTTCCTTTGTTATTAAATACGCCAGAGAAGCTGGGGCAAATCTGATTAGCCCAAAAGTTTGTCTCCTACTATATGAGAGTATTACTATAAAAGTTAATAATTTAAAGATGTTACTGTCTGTAAACAAGTATACTTCCGATTTTCAAACTTTAAGGCAAAATATGTATAAGACTTTATTTCTTCATGAAATTGAGTCTAAACTATTGGAGTGAGAATGAGTTCAAAATTAATGAAGCCAAAAAGAACTTCAAACAAGTATCTTCATAAGAAACTAAACTGGAACAAAATTTATCCAGGATTACCTTGTTTCTGCCTACTTACAATTTGCCAAGCTGCTTTCCTCTGCATTCATCACTAACGACAACATCTTCTACTCTTCCTCTCTGAAAATATTTACATTGTTTAAAGGAGTAAGCATTTACTTTTGTTTTCAGCTAAAACGAGTTGGTAAGAATTTACTGATAATAAGAAGTATATTTTGTAAACTTAAACTTCACAGAAACCAAAATCCAAAAAATATTATACAGTGAAGCCTGTTTCAGTATTTATTTCTATGACTTATGAGAATGAGAGATCACAGAATATTCTGTAATACTTGAATATTTCCTTTGTTTTAAAATATGACAGAGAGGTTGGGGCAAATCTGATTAGCCCAAAAGTTTGTTTCCTACTAGTATAAGAGTACTACTATTAAAAGTTAATAATTTAAAGATGTTAAAGATGTTTTTACTTATTAGAGGAAATAGTATGAGTCAACTTGTGGGCTAAACTTGTTTTGGCTATGTCCCTAACCTTTCCACCCCATTGTCTTTAAACAAGTATCAGAATCAACATCACTAAAATGTTGCCTTTTCATGAATATATCCATCATTCTACTCCTTGCTTAGCAAGTTATTTTAGATAGCCAAATAAAATTAATGTCTAGTACAGAAACCCCACCAAAATTCTTAAGTGTCACAGAACACATCCCAAGTGTTCCTACCTTATTGTCACTGAATTACTAAAGTTTTCTCTCTTTATTATTTTATGAGTTATTGAGGGCTGAAAGGGCATTACATGCACTAGATATATTAGGACAGAATAATAGTCTGAATACCATTTGGAAACAGAAATTTGTGCTAATGTGTATTCAAAGTATTGTTTTCTTAAAAGAGTAACATTAGAGGTTTTGTGCATTACTGCTAAATAGTTTGGTTTCTCTATGGCTATATCAAATTGATTCACCTTACATAATAATTTTAGCATACAATTCATACTGTTAATACATTTTCTTTCTTAAAGCACCCAGAACACACTGGGAAAGATATTTCTAAGAAGTACTGAAAAGCAGTGAGAAAACAGATTTGTCTAATGGAAACTCAAAGCCAGTTGTGCTAGAAAACACTTGTTCATTTTACTTATAAGCATTACTGTGAGCACGTACCTTAGCACAGGAATGGATGAATTTATGTTCTATTATCAGAGTTGCTGTAGCAACAATCTGTCCTAGAGTCACATCTTCTACAACTGTAACATAATAATCCCCAGATTTTTTCATATGCTCAAAAGATTCTGTGGAAATTGGACAACAAAGTGTTACACAGTAGACATTCAACTTTATGGGGAGCCAGAAAAATATTAGGATTAGCTGACTTAATTACTAAATATTTAAAGCTATTTTACCATAGGAATTTACCTTCCATTTCTAAAGAAAATATTACCAAGTAGTTGAAATATCAGCAAATAGTATCAATTGGAATATAGCCTATATACATTCAAAATATCTGCTAGCAAAATAAAGACTAATATAGCTGTTTTTAAGATAAGAGCACTTAAAATACAAGTAAATGACTGATGTTGCCACTTCCATGACTCACTAATGAAAACTTCAATTTCTTCATTTGCTTACTTTAGATTTCTTTAAACTTTATACTCAATAGATATTCAAATATAACAAAATTCTGCCCATTTTAAGAAGACCATGTTTACATGGCTCAATTCTAGAATTTTTGTCTTTGGTTTCAAAATATTTTTACAAAACAGCTTTCAATTTTCCCTTTGTGATGGAAAGTGTTTTGTGATAACATGACTTGCTCCTGTTTGCTTTGAGAGCACCTTGCAAAGGAGGTAAAACATAATCTGTTTCCAAGTAACTTTTCCAAGTCGCATAGCAAATAGGTGCAAAGATACTTCTCAATGGATTTTCAGTACTATTGCTGAAATAACATGGTTTCCTATCTAATTGATGTGCACGCAAAGAGAAATTCAGGAATAAAAACTGAGGCTAATAGTCTTTCATTGTTAATTTCTATAGTCTCATTCCAGATACAGATCTAAAATGGGAAAAAGAGATAAATTCAATGAATGAAAATAAACAATGAGAATCAGAGAATAATGGCCCTCATTCTCAGGAGGGTCAAATAGAGTTCAATACAAAATTACCTATTATAAGGAAATGAATTACAATTCATCAGCTATTAAATATTACTAAATATTTAGTAATGATGAATTAATAATACTTCATTACCATTATAATGGGGAAAAGCAGTGTCAGTTAAAACAGGAGAAAGCAGTGGTAGAGCACTGGACAGAATTAAGGTTTTATTCCTCTTCATAGCAGTAACTACCTGTGATCTTGGGTAAGTCTTTGGATCTCTAGTCTAGACTCCCATTTTCTCATATGTCTAAAAGAGGAGGGTTAGATTAACTCTTAAGATACCTGCTAACCTTAAACTTCAATACAAATAAACCTCAAAATAAATTTAAAATGTATGCTCTTACATTTTTGATTCAGTAATAAAATTTCTGTAAATAACCAAAATAAGGGAAATACTACCAAAAAAACTCTAGAGCAACCACCTAGGTCCTATTCTACAGGAATTATCTAATAAAGTAGTCAGATATTTTGCAAAACAAAGTTACTGGTACATTTGGAATTCTAGAATGACTCAGCCACATTAAACATTTAAATAAGAAAATAGCTAATTTGTTATTTGAATCATTTCCAGCTATTTGAACAAAAACAGAAGTGGGCACTGAATAGCTCTAAACAAAAATGAAATCAGGTTTCCCTTTATTTCAGGAAAAAAAGGCTATAGTACTTACTCATAAATTGTTCAGGGCTGACAACTCCAGTCTCTGTTAGCTGACCCAATACCTTAAAAAAACCTGGTTTTGAAAAACAGATTTCAAATTATGAGAAGAGGAAAAGACAGAGTATGAAAAGAAGCAATATGTTAAGCAAGTGGGCTTATGGGCAATTATTCAGAACTTCCCATAATGATCTTTTAATTATTAAAGTGAACCCTATTTTTCTATAATCACTACATATCACAACAACAAAAATAACAGGTTTTACCAATGCTTTTACCTGCATAAGATGTTTTAAATAGTGCTGACCTGAATATCCAGTATTTATAGACCCAGAACAAATGTTTTTCAATGTTTTATATTTTACATTAAGTTCAATGAAAAGGATGCCAAATTTTCCCAAATATATATTTGGTTTTACTTAAAGGTGCAATATGGCCAAATATGATATTTATAAATTAAAGTATATGTAACATTGTTGAGATTACACTCTTTAGTAATTTCTGGTTAATTTCACTAGTGTACTATATCTGAAAATGTGAACGCTATACCTGGAATTTTGAAAATCCTTTTTTTTTTTTTTTTTTTTTTTTTTTTGAGATGGAGGCTCGCTCTGTCGCCCTGGCTGGAGTCCCAGTGGGGCAATCTTGGCTCACCCGAAACATCTGCCACCCGGGTTCAAGTGATTATCCTGCCTTGGCCTCCTGAGTAGCTGGGACTACAGCCTCGTGCCACCAAACCCCTCTAATTTTGGTATTTTTGGTAGAGACGTGGTTTCACCATGTTGGTCAGGCTGGTCTCAAACTACTGACCTCGTGATCTGTCTGCCTCAACCTCCCGAAGTGCTGGAATTACAGGCATGAGCCACTGTGTCCAGCTGAAAATCTTAACTTTGCACTCAATAATTAGGCCAAAATTAGGTACTTCAGGCTGTCTAGCAAAGAGAAAACTGTGAAAAATACAAAGCTGACTTTTAATTACCAAAGTTTAAGGAAGTTCACTTGGAGAATTTGGAGGTTAAAAAAAAATAAGTGTAGAAAAACCCTTTAACATATCCAAGGAAAATTATTTACACCTTAATTCCCCAGCCAGCTTCTTAAGATTCCTCCTGTGTCATTATGCATGATAATTTCATTTTTGTTAATGGGAAATCTTGGCTTATTTAGGAAGAAGTGATGTTGCATTTAAGTCATTTTAAATGTTTCATAGTAATATTTGGTCTTAGCCATGAAACATACTCATTGGTATTGAGTATCCGTCACTTTAAAAATTAAGAATTATACAAAAAAAGTACAAAAGTCAAATATTTAAAAAAAATTATCCACATCATTAATGTTCATAGAGAAAATGGAAGGGCTAACTCTAATTTTACACAAGATTGGTAACTGAGTACATTACCTCGATTTAAATCAGCAGTACAAAGAGGCCTCAAAACCAAGCCTTCTCCAGGATGTGTTGGGGAAATGGCTGGAGAAAATGTAGCTGTATTCTGACTCCAGTCCACTTCTTTGAGTAGACTTGGGTCAAACATTGGAGTTTCATCAGGTTTCATCTTTCTAGTAAGTTCTAAAATAAGAATTTAAATATTAACTCATTTTATTTAATAGAAGGAAAATTATGATTGTTGAGAAAGTTAATATAAATTAATGCAATTAGAAGCATTCCTTTAGCAGATACTTGAGATATTTTACTGCAACCTGTCTTGAATCTAACATTAAATATCACAACTACAGATAAATGGAAAAATGCCTACTATCAGATAGAAAATGGATAAGTGACTAAATTAGTAAGTTTTAAACTATAAAATCTCATTTATTATCAGGTCTTTTTTTTGGAGGGGGACATGGAGTCTTGCTCTGTCACCAGACTGGAGTGCAACCTTCAGTTCCTGGATTCAAGTGATTCTCCTGCCCCAGCCTCCTGAATAGCAGGGATTACAGGCACCTGCTACTATGCCCAGCTAATTTTTTTTTTCAGATGGAGTTTTGCTCTTATTGCCCAGGCTGGAGTGCAATGGCATGATCTCAGCTCACCACAACCTCTGCTTCCTGGGTTCAAGCAATTCTCTTGCCTCAGCCTCCGGAGTAGCTGGGATTACAGGCATGTGCTACCACACCAGCTAATTTTGTATTTTTGCTACAGACAGGATTTTCTCCATGTTGGTCAGGCTGGTCTCAAACTCCTGACCTCAGGTGATCTGCCTGCCTCAGCCTCCCGAAGTGCTGGGATTACAGGCATGAGCCACTTTGCCTGGCCAATTTTTTGTATTTTTAATTCACCATGTTAGCCTCGCTGGTCTCAAACTATTGAACTCCCAACCTCAGGTGATCAGCCCACCTTGGCCTCCCAAAGTG